ATACTGTTGAATGATGATGCAGACAGGAGATTGTAATCATTGCAATGAAATGATGAATGTAAAACTGATGCTCCCCCATGTAAACTATCACTCAGTTAACAATAAAACGTTTTTTTTAAAAAAAGGACTTCAGGTCCTGGTGGCTGCTGAGGCAGAGTCAGGTAGGACAGGCTCTGTGGGGGAGGGATTGAAAACCCAGAGAAGCGGCTCTTACGGAACAGCACCAGAGCTCTGGATCTAGCATATGGTGCTACTGTGATTTAGGAATCGCTCTAGGTGCAGGACTCTCTTTGCAGCCACACATACTATCACTACCACCTCACCCCACCACCCCGGAGTTCAGAGGGCGGGGGCTACAGCCAGATCGGCACATGGAACCAGTGCTAAAAATGGTCCAGTGACATTTGCAAAAGGAAGTAGGGGGGAGGGGGAATTCTACACATTTTTTCCACCTCTTGTTGCACCTTCTTTGCCCAGACTGGACACCTTCAGATGGGTGGGTGCGCACCCCCAGAAAAGGAGTCTAGCGTTGAGCCCACAGTTTTTCCCCACAGCAAAGAAAGAGCCGAGAACTAAGGGCAAATTCATTGGCAGCTGCTTATGACGGCAGGCTCTGGGTCGCAGCCTTAAAATTAACTTGTGCAGGACCCTTTACTCCAGCATATCCGGCAAGAAAAAAGCAGGCCTGTCAGACAAACCACATAAACAATCTATAAACCCCAACATAAAAGGAAGCAACTATCTCGAGAATAATGCTGTGCACATGCAAATACGACCTTCAAAGACAAAACAGTAGACTATCTTTCTCATATTAACTACTCAATATCTATCTATGCACCTCTAAACAAGCGGATACCCCCACCCGCTGCTGGAGGCCTCTATGGTGCACACACACTGCCTCTGTAGCAAGGTGACCGTCCAGTCGGCCACAGTTTTATTTTTGTTTCAAAGTGGTGGGTTTTGCCTCTGCTTTTATATAGCTTCTGTTTTGGGTCTTTTTGGTCACACACTTTTCCTGAAGGCAGGAGCTTCTTCTCCCTACGTTACCGAAGAAAAAACAGCAATAGTGGCCATACAGCCAAGCTACAAATATATCCCATAATATTCTACCATTAAGACAAGAGCCGAAGTTTGCGCTGTGGTCATGTGGATCTGTGTCTTGCTTCAACAGTGTTTGGATGGAACAGATCCGGGGACTGCCCTACCTCCAGACTCGGACCACCTCTAACAACTTCTTTGGGCACAATTTCATCTCCGGGACCATCTTCTTGAGCATTCCCTGTTACCAGGACCAGCTAAACACTGTGTGTGTGTGTGTGTGTGTGTGTGTGTGTGTGTGTGTGTGTGTGTGGTTAGCGCCAAATCTTCGACCAATCATGAGCTCTCAGATCCATCAGAATTATTACGCTAAAGCTGAGGCTGGTGTCAACTGTCTGGTTAATCTGCATCTGTGGGCCTCTTACACCTACCTCTCTCTGGGCTTCTATTTCAATTGTGATGATGTGGCCTTGGAAGGTGTGGAACAATTCTGTGAGTTGGCTAAGGAGAAGCAGGAGGGTGCTGAGTGTCTCTTGAAACTGCAAAAACAGCGTGGTGGTTGTGCACTCCTCCAGGACATGCAGAGGCTGTCCCAAGATGAGTGGGGAAGAATCCTGAATGCCACGGAAGCTGCCCTGGTCCTGGAGAAGAACCTGAACCAATCTCATCTGGATCTGCATGCATGGTACTACCCACACAGTCCCCCACCTCTGTGACTTTCTGGAGAACCATTTCCTCAACAAGGAGGTGAAAATTATCAAGAAGATGGGCGACCACTTGACCAACCTCCAAAGAATGGCCAGTGCCCATGCAGGGCTAGGCAAATATCTCTTCCAGAGGCTCACTCCCAAGCACGACTAGGAAGAGCCTCTGGAGCCCCATAACCTGTGAGGGGCCTTCAGCCTTCCCCTGCTCTCTGCAGACCTTCTGCCTGAACTTTACTCTCCAGCCACAGAGGCAGCATAGTCAACACCCTGGAGCCCCTCTTCTCCCAAGCCATGGACCAAATGAAAACAATAAAGCTTCCTTTTACAGCAAAAAACAACAACAACAACAAAAACCCACAAGACAAGAGCCAATAACAGCTGCTAAGAAATACATGGGAAAAGGGAAGCTTATCTCCTGATCAAATCCACTAGGAGACACTCAGCAAGCTTAATAACACAGCAACAAACATCCATTCAAGCATTAAAAACTCACATAACTATTGGAAATGACCAATAAAACACAACAAAATATCTCAAAACATGTCCCAAAACAGAAAAGAGTAACTGAGACAAATATGCTGGTGATAGATGAAGGCTCCCCAGCAGAGGAAGAGCAGGTTTTGGATTTGCCTGAGAAGGAATTCATAAGAATGATATGGAAACAAATTCAAATGCTCTGAAAAGGGGAAGAAAAGAAGGAAAAACTCAGGAAAGTACTACAAGAGCAATCAAACAAGATTGATACAGCATTGGAAACAAGTCAAAACCTGCAAAAAGAGGTCCAGATGATGAATAATAAAATATTAGAAATGGACAATACATTGAAAGGGAAAAGGAGCAGAATCAAAGATATGGAAGTCATAACCAGCAAGCTGGCAGACAAATCTCTCAATACTGCTAAGATAGAGGACCAAGAAGAAAAACAGATTAAAAATCTGAAGAGAGTCTAAGATCCTTGCTGGATAACATTATGAGGAAAAACTTAAGTATTCTTGGCATTCCGGAATGTAGGCTCACTCAGAAAGCAGCAGAGGATTATAGGTCCAGGGACTGAGAAAGACAACATGCCTATGGGCAGCAGGCTGGCTTACAAAATGTGCTGTTTGGACATTTAACTGAATAAACATTTTAAGTGTGGAATAAAAACATTTTAAAAAAAGGTAATAGAGAAAATACTGTTAACTGAAGGTGCATGAAGAGATTGTTATCATTGCAATGATTTGTTGAATGTAAAACTGATGAACTGCCCTGTACCTTCATTCAATTCACAATAAAAGCTTAAAAAAAAAATTACTACACAGATGCAGTGGTCAAAACAGTCTGGTACTGGTATGATGAAAGATACATGGGCCAATGGAATAGAATTGAGAACCCAGAAGTAAATCCATCCACATACAGTAAATTGATCTTTAACAAAGGTCCAAAACACATTAAATGGGAAAGAAATAGACTTTTCAATAAAAGGTGCTGGCAAAACTGGAAATCAATTTGCAAAAAAATGAAACAAGACCCATATTTCACACCATATATAAAAAAAATTCCTCAACATGTATTAAAGACCTAAATGTAAATCCCAGAAGTATAAAGATATCAATAAAACATACAAAATATTTAGGAACTCTTATACATAGACAAAGAACTTCTAGAGGTTCAAGCTGGATTCAGAAGAGGATGCAGAAAGAGGGATATCATTTCTGATGTCAGATACATATTGGCTGAAAGCAGAGAACACCAGATTGAAGATGTTTGCCTGTGCTTTATTGACTATGCTGAAGCCTTAGAACATGTGGATCATGAAAAGCTACAGACAACACTGTGGAGAGTGAGTACTCCAGAACACTTAATTGTGCTCATGAGGAGCCTGCATATACCTAGACCAAATGGCAGTTGTTTTTTTTTAACAGAACAAGGGAACACCAAATGGTTTAAAATTAGGAAAGGTCTGTGCCAGGGTTGTATTCTTTAACCATACTTCTTCAATATGTACACTGAGCAAATAATCTGAAAAGTTGGATTATATGAGGAAACACGTGGCATCAGGATTGGAGGAAGACTCATTAACAACCTGTGATATAGAGATGATACAACCTTGCTTGCTGAAAGTGAAGAGGACTTAAAATACTTACTGATGAAGATCAAAGCCCACAGCCTTTAGTATGAGTTGCATATGTATGTAAAGAAAACAAAAATCCTCAGGACTGGGTGGAAATATAAAGGTAGACATTTTGTAACAAATAGAGGGGAGTGGTTGATTTTGCAGTAAAGGAAAGGAGGTCCCTGGGACCATCAAGGGAAAGGAGCAGAGTGCAGGACCCTACCCAGAGAAGTAGTGACACTAGAGATGAAGGCAGAGACAATGACATGGAGAGATGGAGCGGCTAGGGACTCTGGACTCAGGTGGGAAGAGAGGGTCTGGGTGCTAGCGGCCAGGGGGCAGTCTTGCAGGGTGTACCCTTTGGTTGTTTGTTGAATCATGGAGGGGATTGTAATCATTGCAATGAAACAAAATACGACAGGATGAATATAAAGCTAATGTTCTCCCACGTAAACTATCACATAATTCACAATAAAAACTTAAAAAAAAAAAAAAAAAAGTCCTCAGGACTAATAAACAACATTCATATAAATGGAGAAAAGATTGAGATGTCAAAGACTTCTTTCCATAAACACTTATGGAAACAGCAGGCAAGAAATCAAACGATGTACCGCTTTAGGTAAATCTGATGCACAAGACTGCTTTAAAGAGCTGAAGAGCAAAGATGTTAGTTTGAGGACAAAGGTGTGCCTGACCCAACCCATGGTATTTTCAATACCCTCATATGCATGTGAAAATTGGACAGTGAATAAGGAATACTGTAGAAGAATTGATGAATTTGAGTTATGGTGTTGGAGAAGAATAGTAAAAGTACTATATATATATTTTTTATTTCTTTATGTATGATGTCTTTGATGTCATCCCACAATTTGTCTGGTCTGCAATTTGTCTGGTCTGCTTAGTGGACCAAGTCTATTCTTGAGATGGTCTCTAAATTCAGGTAGAACATACTCAAGGCTCTATTTTGGTTCTTGTGAACATTTTTCATTTTCTTCAGCTTCAACTTAAACTTGCATATGAGCAATTGATGGTCGTGTCCACAGCCAGCCTCTGGCCTTGTTCTGAATGAGAATATTGAGCTCTCCACTGTCTCTTTCCACATATGCAATTGATTTGTTTCCTGTGTATTCCATTCATCAAGGTCCCTGTGCCTAGTCATCATTGATGTTATTGTAAAAGACATGCAACAAATAAGTCATCAGTTTTGGAAAATTCTACCCTGTGATCTACAGCATTGTTTCTATCACCAAGGCCATATTTTCTGACTGCTGATCCCTGTTTCCAAATCACCATTAATTATAAACACATCTTAATTTTACGTTTGATCAATTTCACATTACAAAAAAAATCTTTAATTTCATCATTACTGACTTTAGTGACTGGTGCATAAAGTGAATAATCATCACATTAATCACCTTCCTTGTAAGCCTTTATCTATTATTCTACCACAGACAGCATGTGCAAGCAAATGTGGCACCAATCATCCTTTTCCCAGCACTCTCTATTCAACTGGGTTTGATATTGCAATGGCCACAAAGAACTCAGGCACCATACTCACGGTTATGGGGTTTATTAGGGAAGTTAATAGGTTACAACTCAAGGTTAGAAATGTCAAGGGCACAGTTCTTCCAGTCAAGACAGTCTCTCTTCAGCATGTCCACAGGCAGCCTTCTTTCTGCATGGCCAATGCTACAAAGTTCTTTCAGGGCTCAACAGCCTGAAAGCAAGCTTACTGCCCAGTCACCCAGATTTACTTCTTCCATAGTCTGTGAAGCCCACCATTCTCTGTCTAATGCTCTGGCTCTTGGCTCTGTGCTGCTGCTCCTCTGCCATTCCTCTGCTATTCATTCAGTGTTACAACTTTCTGTTCCTGGGTCAAGGAGGTTCACTGTACAAGAATCTTGAGGTCCAAAGGACATGCTCCACTCCTGAATCTTCTCTCTCTCTCTCTCTCTTTTTTTTTTTTTTTTAAAGGTTTTTATTGTGGATTAAAACAAAAACAAAAAACACTCAAGCATATATAATAATTTACACTTCCAAAGGGCACATTCTGCAAGTCTGCCTCCTAGCCACCAGCTCTAACTCTCTCTCTTCCCATGAATCTAGAGTCCTCAGCCACTCCCCTTCTCCATGACCCCATCTCTGCCTCTATCTCTGGCATCGCTGCTTCTCTGGATAAGGTCCCGCATTCTGCTTGTACTCTTCTCCCTTAATGGTCTTTGGGTCCTCTGTTTCTAGACTGTATGCTTAACCACTCCCTTGTTTTTGTTACAAAACTTCTACCTTTACAATTGTGACAGTCGTAATTAGTCATGATAACTATTATTCACTATTGAATCATATGAATCTTATCCCCATATCTTTTCACCAGACCCATCCAGACAAGATGAAAACTATTCAGTGGGGACTCTTTCTTTCCCCCCATACTCTTAAACCAAACTCCCTCTTGAAACCTTGTAAGCCAGTCACTTCGTGCCTTTATCACCCCCTCATTTTAGGTAGCCAATGTCTAAATTGCCCATCCCTATCTACCCTGTGTACAGAGGGGATAGTATTGATACTTGATGTGAAGACTCCTTCCCTCTATGTTGGCATTTAGAGTTACTATCTCCATGAGTATAGGTCAGGTTCATCAAATTGTAGCAATTTACCCTTCTTTTATTAAAAAAAAATTTTTTTTTTTTCTTTTTGTAATCTCCCTCTAGTCGAGTTCTGATTATCAAGCCATCGAGACTAGGTCAAATGGGTACTGTCTGAAAGTTTGGGTGTCCTTGTGCATCTCCTCTCACTTCATATCAGCTAGCTGCTTCACTCTCAGCTCTAGCCCTCTGTAGCTATG